AAACTAGAGGTGTTGAAGAATCCAGAAGATTAGGATTTGAGAGAACACAAAGAATAAATGCACCGGCGCCATTGCGAACGATTTTGAGCCATGTCATTCAAGGTCTCTAACCATCGATTATTATCATCTCGTGGACCCCAACCACGTAGCCTACATCTACCGACACGACTCAGTCCACTTGTCAATGACTTTATGGATTTCAGCCATGTTTTGTTCTGGCTGCCCCTAGTTTTCTTCTAACCTATTCCTACACTACAAAACAAGGCTCGATGAGGCAGTCGGTGGTTAGCCATACGTGACACATGTCCCAACCACCTCAACTGATGAAGTTTCAATACTTCATCTATTGATCTGCCATTCTTACCTAGCACCCGATTCCTAATAATAGCGTTGCTCACTCGGGTGTCCCACGATATACGAGCAATGCTTCTTAAACATCTATGATCGATTTTTTTTTGAATTTTTAAAAAAAAGTTGATTGAAATTCAAAAATAAACTCTTGAGAAGAAAAAGAAAACTAAATGTTTCAAACAAAACAATACTAATGAATATAATCAATCACAAGATCTTCTTCATTTTCGTTTACACAAACGCGGATCGATTGAAAGAAGAGATAGATCATATGTTTTCTATATATGAACAAATAATAATCGTAATAATAATAATAATAATAATAATAATTTTGCATTTTATTATTATGCAGATTGTTGTGCATTATTGAAATCATGATAGATGGACGTTTTATCCTAGTTTAGGACTCAGCAGTGTGCATCTATCTATGAGACCCCCACTTCTATCGTGGACTGATTGAAGCCAGACATTTTAACACCGTTGGATACCAGCTTAGTGATCTGAAGTTTAAGCGTTGGTCTGCGAGGCAGAACGTCCTGAGTTTTGATTTTCACATGTGAGCGTCATGGATGCGCATTGTTGATGAGTCCTAGACTAAGGCGAAACAGCCATCCAGTGATTTGAGGTTTCTAATCGTGATCTAGCATTAACTGATTTATGATTTCAATGAAATTTACACCACTGTTGAACAGTGGTCAACTAAAGTGTAGTCATGCTCGCTAAACCACTGTCTACCTTGTCATTTAATGATAGCTAGCATAAAAAATATATGATAGAGATAGGCCAGTAGTGGCAAAACGAAAGTATAGCATCATTTCTTAAACTTACTGACTAATAAATTGAAACACTATTGAAATCATGAACTAATCACTGTTAGACAAGCATTGGAAACCTACGAACACTGGATGGCCGTTTCGTCCTGGCACATGACTGACTGATCAGTAACAGTGCACATTCATGATTCATGCTACTCCCAGGAGCTGAAACTAGGACCTTCGGATTTTGCACGCAAACGCCTAACCTCTGAGCTGGAACCCAACAGTCTAATTCTGACCAATCCCTATTATTGCACAACCTTCACCCATTATCTTCGGTAGTTACTGCCTACTACTAGATAAGGTTGAACTCTACTGACCACAGCTTCACACTAGAACTCTGAGAATTTCTTTACAAATTCTAACAAATCTAGCAACTAGTTAGTATATTTTGTAACAGAGTAATGTGAAGATCATTGTTTTCACATATTGAAATTATGAGAATGAATGGTTTTTAATTAAATGTGTCTACAACTTAATCAATCGCAAAATACATAGAATATGTTCACTACAAATAGAGTAAAAAGCGATTGTATTTGAATTTTTAATGAATGAAACATTCAGTTAGCCTTTTTAATGGGTTGCATTGAATTCGAAGTAGGGTGTGCTTATCACTTTAGTGACCTGACGATCTGATTCCGATTTAGCTGAATACAGTGTAATATGCACGCTAATGAAATAAATCTTTTCTGACATTTCTGTATATCATAGTTAGGCTAATTCTGTATGTCAGTCAGTGTGCTATTACGGGTATGAGGGCGGTTATCACTAGCCGGCTGCCCACACCGTGGAAGGTTGTTTCTTGAGGGACTTGAAAAGGAAGATAGAATAATGTTGGTCTTAGAGACCTGTGAGTGTGACTGCAGATTACAAGGGACAACTGCTTGAGGCCGGTCTTTTTATGAAAGGTTTTTTGAGTATTAGCTCCTCTCTTAAAGGACCTTAGTGGGCACCCTTACCCAAGGAGACGGAAATCCGTGAGGTATGGTGAGGTGTGACATTTTTAGAGCCGACATTTTCTAACCCTTCCTTCCTTGTGAGAAGGCAGCATCGCTGTAGATGTTGGTTGTCCGAGGGAAACACCTTACTGCTGACACACCCCTCTGAAGTCAGCAGTACGACTTCGCCCTCAGACCTTGGGTTGGGAAGCTGCTTTTAGTCTCATCGTTCTCCAATCGACCTGCCTGGCATGGTAAAACCTTCAGGAACATATGTTCCAGCCAATATAGCTCGGTTGGGTCATCACGATAGTCAAGCCCGACCACCACATCAAGGTAGTAGCTCCGGTCGGGAATTCTGTAAGTACGATGGTAGTAATTCAAAGTTTAATACGGTTATGCAGATGAACTTATATCATACATTCATTCAAGCAGACAGACATAAGAATGATGAAAAGCGTACAAGTAAATCAAAGCGAAATGGTCAAGGTAAGTGAGCCTACCTCAAACGCGATGAAGCACATGACTAAGTATTTATAATTAGACAAAGATAAGCCAGATAGATATATGATAGACGAAGTAAGCAAGCGCACACACAATCGAATTAAAAACACAACCAAGTTTGTGGACGAATGATTTCCAAGGTCGAAAGAGAGTATAAATCGAATAGAAAAGGTTAATCAACTAACTACTTGTCCGAAAGTTAGGACAAGCGTATGCTCTGTGAGTTTGTGAATACATTTAAAATATTGTCATTGATTTCTTTCTATCTTGGGTCATCTTAATCAGACAAATTGTTTAGGCTACTAGAATAGTTAATGAAGTTATGGACTGATATGAATGATGATATATTGATTTGTGTGTACTGTGTACTTTTCTTACAATCTACTTATATATATACATCAAAACATATTGGCAATTGGGCCTATGTAATAAAATACATGTCTTACTTAAATTATCTCAGTGTTTATAAGGATTTACTACTATATCAATTGCTTTGTCAACTTTTGTGCCTAGTACCATTCAGTATTGTTCAGTGTTATGCAAGCTATGTTTTGAAGACATACGTGTAACTACAGACCTACAGCCTATACCTGCTTTCTATGTTAAGAGATCATAGAATAATATATAAAGCGGACTGCTTTAGAGTATACTATTATACTCACCCTTTGGAATGAAGTCTCGCTTACTCTATAACTGTCACAATATGAATCAAAGTGAAATTTCTAAGTCTATAATGAAATTTCACTAGACACTAATTCATAATGTCTGATCTTAGTAAATTTTCACTAATGCTAGGTAAGAATGGCAGATCAATAGATGAAGTAATGAAACTTCATCAGTTGAGGTGGTAGGGACATGTGTTGCGTATGCCTAACCACGGACTGCCTCGACGAGCTTTGTTTTGTGGTGTAGGAGTAGGTTGGAAGAAAGCTAGGGGCGGCCAGAACAAAACATGGCAGCAATACATGAAGTCACTGATAAGTGGACTGAGTCATGTCGATAAGTGTCGACTACCTGGTTGGGGTCCGCGAGACGATAGTCACCAATGGTTGGAGACCTTGAATGACACGGCTCAAAATCGTCTGCAATGGCCCATGTGCATTCACTCTTTGTGTTCTCTCAAATCCTAATCTTCTGGATTATTCAACAACTCTAGTTTTGACTTTCTAAATTTTTTTCACTGAATCATATTTCTTGAATAATATCTTCTAATCCTAACCTCTTCGATTACTTCTAATACCGTTACTACCTCTTCTACTATTGGATTTGAATTGACAAGTACATCTCCGTGCTGATATGGTATGGCGACATGAACTGATGTACTTACGTACGAAGTTCTACGTTGCATCTGACAGACTGACTGACTGAATGCTGGTTTTTACGTCGAAGATTCATCAACTGCACCAACTCACGTTTGATGCCGAACAGTAGTAATAGAAGTTAAAATATGTTGTACACTGGACTGCTGTTGCATCCTGGTATGGGACTCTCGCTACGAACAGGAATCGAACCCAAGAACTTATTAGGTTTCGCGCGAGAACGCTTAACCTCTGGACCACTGAGTTTGCAGGCATTCAACGGTGTTAATGTCTGACTTAGAGATAAATGTAGAATTGATTGACAGTAGCAATTATTAACAGGACATTTTTTGCAAAAAACAGTGGAATTCATGTTCCTCTATACAGTGTTAATTAGACAGTTAGTTAAGGCTGCCTATGATCTGTGTACAGATCAATCAGACAGTAAGTAAGTCGCTTAGCTTAGTTAATTAAACACAACATAAAACCTAGCACATGTACACATAAGTTCGGATTATTATAATCCCGATTAGTACAGTAAGATGAGAACATAAGGTTAGACTTTAGAATAACAGAGATAATAATAGTTATTTAACGAGTTATCAAATACAGTGTTAGTTTGATTCAATATTAATTAACAAACTAACTAACTAACTAATCGACTGATAATCATTTACAAATTGTAGTTTATTATTGATATCAGAAATTAACCGTTGTTAGACACTAACTACCATTAGAAAGAAACATGAAAGCACTGGACAGCTGTTCCATCCTGGTATGGTATAGGACTCCGTTACTCACAGCAAATGAACCCAAGACCTTATTAGGTCTCGCGCGAGAACACTGAGCCATCAAACGATGTTAATATCTAACTTTGACAGGTGTAACCTTTTGCGCAATCTCACTCAACATTGTCTCCAGTACAAAATACTGCCTACACCCGACAGGGTTGAATTCCACTAGTCTAATCATCTCACTAGAACTCAGAGAATTTCTTTACGCAGTTATCCATTCACTATTAGTAAGCACATTTGATGATTGATTTTTCATTCAGTATATACAAATGTGTAATAAAAAAAGGCCAATAAACTTACTTGAATAGAACCTTTTTTTGGTATATGATAACCTTTATTATTAGGTAATTGTTTTAAATCAGCATAACCTAAATAAGGGGATGGTGCATTATCATCGGATAAATTGAAAAAATACGCTTTCATTGGAAGACGTATATGATTTGGATAGAATGAACCACTAGCACCTAATTCAATGGAAAAACCTTCAACTTGTCCAACTGGATGTATACGTCCATTAAGCATACTTTCCTATGAAAAAAATAAAAAATTAAAAGTAAGAAGAAAGAGGAAAAAAGATGAAAAATAATTTATAAATACTTGGAAATATAAGAATAAATAAACACGTAAAAACTATTAGATCATCCATGGACACACACAGAAGTGGATGGTAGCAATGGTTGAACGCCTAAGATCAAATAGCCATTTCCAGAACATGGGATTACTAACGTGCTAGTGTTACTTGTTGTGAGTGATCTATAATAGACAATAATGTTTGAATGCGGAGAGCTCAAACATCTTCAGGTCATAAAGATCAAGTTTCTCAAAGATATAGGAAGTACTGTGGTGCGAGCTACTTATAAGTAGTATATGACGTGAGTGTCAACATAATGTCTGGCAGCAGAAGATGGGAGGGAAGATCAAGAAAGGAAGAGTTAGAAAACAATGGAATTTGTATGAAACAACGCATGAATAGTGACAATGGATTGATGTTGTTTGCAACAGGAACAGTCCAGTTCGATATGATGAACTGTTATTTTGTAAATGAACGATTTACGATATGGTTTTCGGATTTTACTGAGTAACTCTGTAATTTTCGTTAAATACAATTCGGTTGCCCTACCTGTGTTCTCGTTCACTACAGTATTACTGCCTTCAAAGGCCTGTTATAAACTTGACTTTTTACAAACAGACTAGCAGTACTAACATCAACATGAAAAAAAACTGGTTCATTGACTATAAACAGTCAGTTTTTATATACTTAAGCATGGTGTTTGCATCCCACTGTTAACTAGAGGTATTAAAAAAACCCATCTAAACATAGTTTCGCGTCATCACTTTGAAGTGGTCAAGGCGGAACTGAAACTTAGGAAGCACTGGAAAACTCATCGAACAGCATCACAAAAGTTTAGTACGCCCTTTTTTCGGGATACTGGCAAACTCAATCAGTCAGTCAGTCAAATACGACGCAGAACTTCGTATGTAGGTTATCAGTTCAAGTCACCATACCACGGTATCACAGAGATACAATTGTCGATTCAACGAATTTAAGATAGTTCTCAGCAATAAAATGCAAGCCTCTCATATTTACTCAATGGAGAGGCAACTAACATGGAGAACAAGTGAAAAGGGATCAAAGAAGCAATAACTTGAACATCACATGAGGTTTTGGGTCACAAGAAGAATCAACACAAGGAATGGATCTCTGTCGATACTATGGAGAGTTATCAATATCAGTCGAACAAGAGCAGAAAAAGCCAAGGCAAAAGCCGACAAACGTAAATATCTGGGAGATCTAGTAATGATAGTAGAAAAAGCTGCAGAAGTGAAAAACATGAGACAAATACATGATGCAACGAAGAAGCTTGCTAAGAATACATGGTAAACTAGAACAACCATTGAAGAACAAGGAAAATGAACCAACCACCGACATTGAAGAACAGCGAAAAAAAGGTGAGCAGAGCACTTATAAGAACTCATGAATCGACTAGCCAGCTTCCATAGAAGCTGGACCTACGGATTTCCTGATTATTGTTGACACACCAACAATGGAAGAGGTCAGTATAGCCATCAGAAAAATCAAGAACAGGAAAGGAGTAGGACCAGATAACATTCCTGTAAACAAACTCCACACTCTATTTAGCAAAATTTGGTTGAAAGAATAAGTACCAACAGACTGGAAAGAAGGAAACCTCATTTAAATACAAGACAAAGTAGATCTTAGTAAGTGTGAGAACTACAGAGTCATAGCTATGCACTTAATACGAGGAAAAGTCTTCAACAGAGTGTTGTTAAATGTTAAATGAGAGATTCTGTCGACACCAAAATTTTGAGATCAACAGGATGGAACCCGTAGGGATTGATCAAGTACCAACCAAATCACCCGCAACACTATGGGTCACTGTGGAACAATCAGCTGAACGCAACTCACCACCATTATACATTAACTGCATTTACTACGAGTAAGCACTTGACAGGAGAACGTGATGGGGCCATATCTTCGGCACCATAATGTATCTAAGGTGATAGTCAATAACATACAGAATTCTTATGATGGATTAAACCGCAAGACTGTGCATCGCGGACTGCTCACAGATTCGTTCGAAGTGAACACCCCAACTGTATGGTTTAATATGAATAATTTTATTGGTTAATAATAGTAGTTGTAGCATTTTAAAGTCTTAACAAAATCGTAAAGTTAATTTAAAATGTGAATATGGCTCCACTGTTTAGTTAGTCATGAATGATTTTCGCCAAGATTGTTGCGGTAAGATATGATTTGTGGGCTTGGTCGAATCCGAAATGAATTCAATAACAGTCGCTACGATACTCAGCTGAATACTCAGAGAATATGAACCATTCAGATAAGTAAGTGAGTTAAATTAAATCTTGTACTCATATCAGTAGAATTCAACTACCATTACTATTTCAACAGTGTATGTGATAAAAGTAACCATAAAAATTAGTGGTCTTTTAATGGAAGCCGATATTTAACATAATGTCTTTACCAGAATATACATGTTAAATCTACTAATAAGAAATTTAGTACACAATACAACCTATGGCACAAGACTTAGTAAAGCCAGTCCCTAGTTCACAAAGTGAAAGCTGAAATGGAAATAGAAGAAACCTCCACAATCCAGTAAGTGTCAGAATGTCGAATCATCCATTCACCACTCACTACCTTGTGACACATCGATATTTTAGAAATCTTGTTCAGCTGTACATGGATGGAAGCACTTCAGTGTAATCTTGGACACTATATTCCCTCACAATACATTAAAATCATATGAGATTTAAAAACTAGCCAATAGAGTATTTTTATTTTAATCAACCAATCAAATTTCAGATTTTCAAATAATAATACACATCACTTTTTTAAAAAAAAACACGCTGAAAAGATGGTTCCTTTTGTTTGTTTTTTTCTTAAACATGAAAATATGCCATTCAATGTTGAAGAAGAGAAATAATTTAATGAAGAGTTAAAGAATATAAGAAGAAAGAACCAAAAAGTAAGGAAGGGTACAATTTTTTCAAAAAAAACAAAACAAAACAAAAAGTAATTAAAAATGACCATCTTTTTTTCTCTAAAATTTTATACACTTTCATCATGTGATATGTAACACGGTGGTGTAATGAATCAAGGAGAAAATGAGCTGATTACATAATAATCACAACAATAATAATAACTAACAAAACGATAAAGTCAGTGGAATTAGAGAAATATTCTTGTTAGTTAAACGCATAAAAGCATAAATCAAGAACAAAAAAAAAGATCATATTAGGCTAAAAAGTACTTGTGTAACGAACGACGCATGAAGAAATCAAGTAGTCCAGAGAGAATAATTGATAATAATTACAGAAGATAGTTAGACATACAAGCAGATTATTGATTAGTTTCGCTCAAATAATCTCGCATAGTTTTTTTTTTTCAATTATACTCTGAATGTGCCCATGAATTAATTTCGATCTGTCTAGACATTCTTCTTCTCTTTAATAGTATTAAAGAATCCTATTGTGAACATTAGAACAATACATATAAGCGAACAATAGTGTTGTTTACGATTAGATCGTCATCAGGCTTTACTCTATTATACATGGATATTTGTATATGAAAATGTTACACCAACTAGTCAAGGCAATTTGAGTCAATAATCACAATGAAATGAAATAGATTACGTAACTACATATAATACTATCATCCACTTGAACTTTTGTCTATTATATGTAGTTACGTAATCTATTTCATTACCCTAGTGATTACTGACTCTTAAATTGCTTTGATTGACTTAATAGTTTCATACATAAATATTCATGGTTATTAGAGTAAAGCAGCCTGGTGACGATCTAATCGAAAACAACACTATTGTTCGCTTATATCTGTGTTGTTCTAATTCTCTTTCATAGTAACTTCGAAACAAAACGCTACAACGCAAAACTACTTAAGCGCGCTGCCATATTGTGAGTATCAACATCTACCAACACTTAGGCATATTCATTCATTCTAGGTCCTGTTTTTTTTGTTAAAAAAATTGGTTAGGAGAAATATCTCAAATTTTCGGTACTTAACAATATTTTTATCAGGGAAAACTGGATTATCAGTCAATGATAGATATTAGTAGAAATTGAGATGATTTATAACTATAGACGTTTTAATCAAGTAGAGATTAGCTGGGCAGTCATCAATCAAACAAATAGAAAGAAAGTTTTAGGGCTAGTTTAGGATTGAGAATAGAGGATACCTGAAATCTTAGGCGAACTAATAGCATTTTCGTGGGGTTCGGACAAACGTCGCCGAGCTTTACATTCGAAGAGACGTTACTGCTAAGATTTTTAGGCTACAATCGACCTCATGCAAAAATAGAGATTAGTATTGCCTAGTTATTTAGCAATGGTCGAATTCTGTTGATTGTATGTAGGTACAGCTTAATGAGGAATCTCGAGTTGTGAACTACTTACAAATATCATACAATGTGAATATTATGACGAGTCAATTAGACTATTGATACCAGTGCAACTTGACCGGCAGAAATTGTTTAGCAAGAAAAAATCACATTGGTTCTTACTCAGAGATCAATTTATATCATATTCATTGTTAACCAACAAGCCATGCTGCACATGCACGCCGCTGCTTTTTAGGCAACGCAAGACAGACAGACAGACAGATACAACGCAGAACTTCGTACATCAGTTCAGGTGGCCATACCACATCAGCACAGAGACGCAACTGTCAGTTCAAATCCAACAGTGGTAGCGATAGTATTAGAAGTAATGGAGAAGATTAGGGAGCGAAGATATGATTTGAGAAGTAAAATTCAGTGAGATAAATTTAGAAGGAGAAAGATAGAGATTACGAGGAATTCAGAAGGCTAGAATTAATATGGAGTAGGATGTGTATTCTACAAGCACCCAGAAAATATGAGGTTGATGTTGACAAGTAGACAAATCGAGTGTATTTGTACATAATAGAAACGTCCTTGGAAGAGCCACAAAAATAGTGTACTAAAATAATCCATCAACCAATGACAGTC